TTCTTCTTCTTCTTCTTCTGTCACAACGCTCCGCAACTGGCTAGGCCGCTTGTACCCGTCTGCCTCATCGGCGAGCGCCTCCTCCGGAAAGTACGCTGCCGCCGATGCACGTGGTGAGAGCTCAACGATGGGACGAGAGACCTCGTTACACTCCGTCCCCACCCCATCCTGCGTCCCTTCAGGGCCCCAACGGCGACAACGGGATCTACGAAACAGCACCCTCACGATTGTCCCGTCTTTCGCATCATTGTCGTTGGCTGCTTTGCAGGTGTGCGAGGCAAACAAGCCTTCCGCGTTGTGGTGACCTACGGGAAGCTCCAATCCTTCAGATAGCGCGTGCTGTCCGCCGTTACGACTTTCCTTTGCTCCAGCACTCATTGCCTGGTGATGCTGGTGTTGGTATTGATGCTGCAGAGGCTGCGTGGGCTCAACGGGCGTAAATGCCAGGCGCCCTTGCAAGGTGAAGTGCATGTTCCGTGCGCCCCCCCGCCTGGTCTCACGGCGGCGCGGGTGCGTGATGAGCGGGCCGCACAAGATGAACAGAAGCAGCAGCACCACAAGAAGAACGCGCCGCTTCAGCCGAGACGCGTGCTGTTTTCTGTGATGAGCCGGGGTCCCATGTCGCTTCATGGATGCACGCATGGCGATGTCTTTGCGTCACCGCCACCCGCCCCCGTTTGCGCAATCGATTGTTTTCTTTTCTTCGTTTTGAAGGGGCCAAACGAGGAAAATTATAACAACAACAACAACACCGGTGGGAAACTGGACTCCTGCGAGACCAGAGAAGGCCAAGCAGCAACAAAAAAAAAAAAACACACACACACGCAGGGGGAGAAAAAATACATTGAAAAATGTGCAGAATGTATCGCGTCCACTTTGCAAGGAAAACAACACCAAAAGAACAAAAAAAAAAAAACAGAAAAACAAAAGGACATATCTTTCATAAAAAGGGGGCATACCAAGTGAAGAGCGAAGATCTCCCTCATATTACACAGAGCAGAGCTGGCACTGTATACGACTCTCCACTCCCTAACCACTATACATTTTCCTTTTTTCTTCTCCCCCTTGGTTTCTTGAAGTGTACAGGCACGAGTAGGAACATGGGTGAATTAAACGAAATTGTGAAGTCTCTCTCTCTTTCTCTCTTGGGCTGAAGCAAGACATTGCTACACAGCCGCACCTGTTCCATTGACGTTGTTGTTGTTTGTTGTTTTTTTGTTGGACAGCAATGAAGTCTCGCATAATAATGGGAGGGCTCACGTAGGAAAGATGTATGTGCTGCAAAGGCACACAAAGCACACACACAGAGAGACAAGATGAAAAAAAAAACGACAAAAGAACAAAAGATGATCATGCTCATGATGACAGAGGCCCTTCTGTGAACACAGCACAAACACCTTGAGCAGTAAGCCGCCTAACGAAGGTGGTGGAACATGCAGGGTTCGTCCACAACCACGCTACGTGGCGTCTGCTGTGTCGTCTTCTGCATCCAACACGTCCCACAGCACCGGCATATTAGCGTTATATTCCTGCAAGTCACGCTTCGAGTAATTGACAATCTTCTTCACACCATATAGTTTACAAAGCTCCCGGGACCGTAGCTCTTGTTCAATGTCTTCCACCCGAAGAGGAGAGGGGCGAGCATCGGAGAGCCGCCCTACATTGGGGCCCGTCCCCTCATTTAGCGGCAGCCCGCCAAATGAGGAGCGTTGCGGGCTATGAGCGCCACTCCCACTGACTGCACGCTCCAGACGAGCAGTGCCATTCTCGCCCTCCCCTTTTTTTGCCCGTGTGCTGAAGGGATGAATGTGGAGACTCGTGAGGGCTAAATTATCACTCACCCGACGTTGAGGATATAGTAGAGGGTCCTTCCCATCTTTGGGCGATGAGCCCCCATCATGCCTCCCTCGTTGCTTCTGCGGCTGTTTCTTCTGTGGGGGGAGAATAGCCATATGGGGCAGCTGATTGCATCGAGTGGGTGGTAGCGACGACGACATCACCGGAATGAGTGGTGGAAGCTTTGTTTTATCTGACGTAGTCTTCCTTCCAATGTCGTCCCACCCTGATTGCAAGTGCCCCGTCGCTAACGCCAAAGTCAAAGGCGGCTGTGCCAACGATGCAGAGACGTTGCGATGGCTAAATGCGTCACTCGTTGTTGTTACCCTTTTCCGGGCGGTACCACTATCAACAGCGCGTGGCTCAACAACGCCTCCCGGTCTGGTCACCTCTGTGAATTCACAGTGCTCCTTAATCCCGCCAAGCATGTTAGTGTTTTCTTTGCTTCCGTGGAGACGCGGCGGCGCTGCTGTCGCCATAGCGGCGCTATACTCGCCACTCAATCCGCATTCACTCAGTGCACCCTCCACAACAGCGAGCTGGCACATCAAGTAGGAGTACAGCACACTAAATCCCTGCAGCTCGAATGTGTGTTTGGTTAGGGAGGGGTGCTGCCGCACGTACTCCTCCCACTGCTGTGGAAACGCTACGCCATTCTTTACCCCATCTTCAAACAATTCTACAACTGCGCTGGCAAACCAGTGCATCATCATTCCAAGCTCTGAGTGTGCAGCGGCGGCGACGAAGCTGCTCTGCACGCGTGAACGAGACGGGCACCCCTGTGTGACGAGAGAACTGCTACTCTGGGCACAGATAGAACCGGCACCAAAGAGGTGACCTCCCCTCCTTTTTATCTCTCTCATATCTTTTACCTCCAAGCTAGATAGGATGACTTTGAGCTTCTCAGAGGTTAACGCAGCGGGCAGCGCGGACTGCGCGAAGGCAATCTCTTCAACTTGCTCTGTGAGAGAGCGCTGAACCATGACTCCAGAGGCACTGACTTTATTTCGAGAGAGCACCAAACCACAAATGAAAAAGAAAAACAAAAACAAAGAGCCACCACGTAAGATGAAGCGTAGGCAGTCAGAGGGTCTCTGGGAGGCAGAGGGAGTATTTCAAACATATATATATATATATATATATATATATAGTGTCTTAGGTGGGTGATGACACATATCGGTGTAGAGAGAAAGAAAGTCGCAATACCTCATGAACGAACGTACACTTACATGGTGGGGCGCTGCAATCAGAGCCCTCTCTGCACCTTCTCTACAACGGCACACGCTTAGTGGTTGGCACAACAAACGGTTTGCTTCCATGGAGGGCTTGCATCCCTTTGGTGTCAACGCGCCGCGCTAGTTCAGCCGATTCCGTATCGTACAATGGCGAGAAGTCCTCTATACATGAATGCGACACAACACTACGGGTAGCACCTTTTTTAGTTTCCGCCGACGCACCAGCGATGGGAGGCAAGCTGCACCCCTCAACGTGTCTACGGTTCCATGCTCCATGCAGCACTGTGAAGTGCATGATATTATCCTGTCCTTTGTCTACATCTCCTGCCTGTGGCTGACTGTACTTGGTGGAGTCATGCTTCGTTGCTGGAACAAGCGATGTGGCATCCCTTTTTCCCTCCGTCGCAAATGCCTTCAATCTCTCACGAACCTTCCGCACATGCTGGGGGCGACGAACAGCTGCTGTATGGCGTCGGATGTCATCCTCGACCTTCGTTCCATAAATAGTTTCGGCTGCCGTTGGTTCCACAGGGTGCCGGTAGACACCACTCACACTCACCGTTGAAAGCATGTGGTGGAGTTTCTCCGTCGCCTCTCTGTAGCTCTCATCCTTATGTGAGAGCCGTGTCACGGTTGCCTGAAGTATCTGCTCCTCCAGCATCTGCGCTCCCATATCCCGCACATCAGCCGAGACCTTCATCGTTCTCTCAATATACCGCTTCCTCGCGTAGAAATTGTCAACGTAGCGCCGCACATAAAACCCCCGGAAACACGCCTGTATGCGTGCTGCATAGTACTCGTACACTGCACGCTCGTGTGACAGATCGGCTATCTCCCGCAGCCCCATCACGCGCTTCCTCTGCATATGACCGCGGTACATCCTCTGCATACAAACCACAGCACTCTTCTTCTGCTGATATGATCGACGATCGCGCCACATGCGGTACGCCGCTTGTACTTTAAGAGCAGCGTCCGTCTCACTCGCCTGCAGCGCGGAGGCTCGCGCCAGCCCCTCAATGATAGAGGTAACAAGCTGAGGATGGAGCGGATGTGGCGCAGTTACAGAGTCCATCTGTTAAACTAAACCTTCAGTAGTTCACAAACAACAGAGGAGAGACGAAGTCATACAGGATGACACCACTCTGGCCAAACACACAGCAAGGGTTCATCACACATAGAGAAATAAAAACCAAGCACGACCACACACACAAACACACATGCAATGGAGCCGCACATCTGGGCTCTCTTAGGTCCACGCAGGAGACCGAATGGATACACTCGCCGGTGGGATTGTTCGTGAGAGCCTGAAGCGTGGCAATAGCTATTCTACACTATAGTGACAAATCAGAGGGAAAAAACGAATCCTGAAAGCAGAGAATGATAGCGATGGAGACTCAAATACAAATCCCAAGCGGCACCGCAACTTCAAAGAGAGTCGTTAAGATTTTGGGTGCGTTCACAAGATTTGACACGAACCCTAAGCAATATTCCGTGTTGTAACCATATCCACCGGCAGATGTCCGGCAGAACCCAAACAGGAGAGGCTAACGTGCCCACTTCCGCGAATAACGATACTTGTAATGCTACAATGCGGAAGGGAGATCCGCAGCCATGCTTCTGGTGGCAGTTGTAGCGCACGACACACCAGGTAGCGAATCACATTGGCGTGCCCAACAATAATCTCCACGGAAGACTCATCCCCCGTCGGACGGTGAAAGTACTTCTCAAACACCTTCTCCACCGCCTGCATGTCGCTGTAACTTGCGTGTCTGTGTCGGCGTGGTGGCTCTGGGTCGCATGGGTACCGTTCGCGCAATGTGGCGTCTGTCGCCAGTCGCCGGCGAATGCTTGGCGGAAATGCCTCGAGAATTAGCTTGGCTGTCTGCTGTGCACGTGTCATATCGGAGACATGGACAAACTTTGGCTCCGGCATGACAAATAACCCTCCCAAATTATTAACAGTCACACTTGACGAAACCGCCGCGTCTTCCCCAGACATGCCAGCTGCCTCAATCTGCGCGGCATCACCTTGCTTTGCCTTCTCNGACATTTGGTGACGTTTCTGCTGAAATGCATTGGCCAAATATTCCCCCGTCAGTCGTGACTGCTGCTCCCCAAGTGTTGTGAGAGTGCGAACACGATCATCGTCGGAATCCTCACACTGATACTGACCGTGACGAACCAATATAATCTGCCGCCTACACGAGCCGCGGCGGTCGGCACGAATACCACGAGCGCCAGGCCGATCCCAATCCTCGACCCAAGGCACACCCCAAGTCTTCACATACTCCAGCTCTTCCTTCCTCGGAATAGGCATCCCATCCAAAGAAAAATTCTTCAGGCCATCCGGCAATATGCCGCTGCGACTCGGTGACTCGCACCACGCAGACGACAACGAGCAGCCAAAGCCAACAACAGTACCCACAACAAACCTCCCTAACATTGAAAACAAAAAACTTCCTAAAGAAAAAGAAATGCAAGAAAAAAAGAACAAACAATCTCACAAAGAAAAANAGACGGGGGCCGCGCTGCGGTGATCAGACAGGGCGTGAAACAACGCTGTTTTCATAGTGTGTCAACGTCCATCTGCGACGGCTTTACATCTGCCTGGTTTTCAATCACGTCGTTGCAGCAGAAAGAGGGGGGGAGAGAGAGGGGAGGGGGAGACGAAGTCAGACTGGGGCGACAATGTTTCTTGCTCATTGGGTCATCAAAGTCTGTGATGTTACGTCAATCATCATGCGCTGCATATATATTTAGGGCCATGCCGGTGCCGGGCAACTCTCGCTCTCCAGTTTCGTGCGCAGCGCCTGTTAGCTTTGCGGCGCGCGCACTACATAAAAGAGCTGGCGGTTCGTGTGTGGATGTGTAATGCATGGTTTGTTGCTGACTCATCAATGCCCCGATGGAGCTAGAGCGCACACAGGATATGCATAACGGGATAGCCGCACGGCGGAGCATCAGACGCACAAGGCGCCGAGCATCACACCACGCGCACCCTTGCTCTGTGGCCCCCCGCACACACACGCAGCGGGGCGCGCACGTGCCCACGAGGAGCACAGCGCGGCCGCCACGCACGTGTTTTCTCGAAGCCGTACGCCCACAGCGAGGGCGCCCTCGAGGTGACAGGGCCACTGCGTGGAGAAGAGAGGGGGGGGGGGGGGGGAGAGAAAGAGAGAGAGAAACAGGAGGAGAGGAGGGGAGCAGACGGGGGCCGCGCTGCGGTGATCAGACAGGGCGTGAAACAACGCTGTTTTCATAGTGTGTCAACGTCCATCTGCGACGGCTTTACATCTGCCTGGTTTTCAATCACGTCGTTGCAGCAGAAAGAGGGGGGGAGAGAGAGGGGAGGGGGAGACGAAGTCAGACTGGGGCGACAATGTTTCTTGCTCATTGGGTCATCAAAGTCTGTGATGTTACGTCAATCATCATGCGCTGCATATATATTTAGGGCCATTCTGTTGAGGGTTTGTATCATTATACTTTGTTTGTTGTTTTCTACCTTGATGTGAAGAAAAGTTGTTGGAAAGGAATGTAGAGGAGAAAAGCGATGGGCTGTGAGGTGTATTTTTACAATGCTATTTGTTCATAGGTTGTCGTTTTTGTTTTATTGGCGTGGTTACGGATGTTTGTTTGTCTGTCGTTCTGTGGTCTATATCGTTATATTGTTGGTCTGCAACTGGAGGATAAGCTGTGTGGACACTCCGTCTGACTACCCCTGTCATTTTTTCACCTGTCGAGGACGTACTCGTCGTGCTTATTCGGGTTGCGCAGGAACCACAGTGGCTGCCATCGATTGGGGTTGTGCTCGTCGAGTGTCTCGTCATCAGAATGGAGCGTAATCTCCTCGTCGTGCCAGTCGTCTCGCTGCCATGCAATGCGTATGCGGCACCCTTTGTGGGCCTCACCATTTGTGCTGGCATTATCTGTGCTGTTTGCATCAGCACGGGTGCTGGCATTGTGCTCTTCGTTGCTGCTGTTGGCCTCCGGTAGGACCTCAGCGACTGTACCGAGCGCATACACGTCCGTCATCCACAACCTCAGCTTCTGCCCTACCGTCAAGGCGTGCACTCCGATCGGCACAAAGGCATTGGCGTTGTGGTCGGTGAGTGGCGGCGCCGCCGGGATCCGCGCGACGTACGCGGAGACGAGTGCAGGGCCCAAGTACTGCGTGAGAAATGCGTGCACTGCCGCCTCGTATGATTCATCTGCACCCTCCGTACCACGGTGGCCAACGCGTTCATCTTGTGGGACAACGATATCCCACCTTCGGGCGCAACTACTACTACTGCTGGCACCATTCTCATCGTGGTTATCTTTGTTGTCACTGCTCACTGGTGGCGTCTGCTCCTGCATCTCCACCCCGTCGACGCCACCAATGGTGCGCTGGCTGGCGGCAACTGCGACTATGAACGTGCCACCGACAGCCGCGTCCGTAACAACAAACGATTCCAGCGCTGCCACCAACACCGCGTTGCTGCGCTTCGCGTCGGCCGGTGTGCCGTTGCTCACCCTTGCGTAGCCGTGCTTGCCCCACACGCACAGCCGCCCCTCCCTCGTCACGGCGAGCGATATGGTCCCGCGCCCAGCGCTAATGCGTGTGATGCTCGCCGGGGCCGCCACGACGATCGGCGTGAGCTGCCCGTCGCCGTTGCTCATGCGGCCAAAGTGGTACACCACCGCCCCCACCACCGGTGACTCGCGCAGTACGAGCGTATGGTCGTCGCCTGCAGCAACGCCGCACAGCTGTTCGGGGTGCGCGCGGTTAGGGAAGCTCACACGCAACGGCGTTAGCGACGCCGCAACGCTGCCGTTGCCGAGTTTGCCGTAGAAGCCCTCGCCGCAAGTGTACACCTCGTCGCTGCTACGGCACACGACATGTGCACGGCCCACCGACACCTCCACAATGACAATGTGGTGGCGCACGAACCACTGCACGAGGGTCGGCACCGCCACATTTGTCTTCACTGTCTGCAATGTGCGCGCGTCCATGCGCTCACCAGTGTCGCCGTGGCAGAGGTGGCCGTACTGTGCCTCACCCCATGCGTACAGCTGCCCCTTCTCGTCCAGCGCGAAGCTCGCGTTGCCCGCGGCGTACACCGCCTTGACGTGCGCCAGGCCACCCACCGGGGCAAAACCGTCCACTTTCGCCGTGACGCCAAGCTGATCACAGCTGTTGTCACCCGCTGCGAAGACAGTACCGCTCGTGGTACAGAGCAGTGAGTGCTTGTTGCCGCACGCGAGGCTGCGAACGCCAGTGCCAGATGACAAGAGCTCCTCGAAGTGGAGTTTGGTGAGCGTGGTGGTATACTCCGGCACGCGGTGGCCGAGCTGGCCGCTGTGGTTGCTGCCCATGCCGTAGACGGCCCAGCCGCAACTCGCGCCATCGTCGCTGGTGGTCGCAGTTGGTGCGGCACGGTGCTCTGCAATCGCCGCAACCGCCACCATGTGCTTCTGCCCGCACGCCAGCGACTTCACCACGACCTGCCGTTCATCAATGCGGTGCAGCTTCTCCTCGTTGTCGTCTCCGCCGCTGCTGGTACTGCTGCTGATCATGGATGGGGCAGGCGGCATGTACACCGGGAAGCGGAGCGGTGGCCGGTTCGGGTGCTCCGCCAGCTGCGGCGCCTGGAAGTTGTAGCTGCCCCAGAAGAACATTCCTGGCGCCCGTGTGGTCTACAGCTGCTCTTCAACCCTACGCATGCATGTGTATTTCATTGCAACCAGGAGAGCAAGTGACATGTGTGTGAGAAACTCAGTTAGGCCCCCTCTCCCGCTCTTTTCTCTCTCTCTCCGTGCGCAGGAAGCACAAACGCCCACAGGCGACACACATAATGATAGGAGAGTTGAGTTCTCTCCTCCCCCAACAGAGACCAACAGACACCACCGAAGAAAACAACAACAACAACAACAAAAAAAAAAGAGGTGGCGTCTGAAAACTGATCACTCCTTCCTGTCTTTAGCAAAGGAAACAAGACGACAGACAGACACGGAAGACAAGGAACACACCATCCCCCACAAAGTACACGATTGACCCCGTGCAATTCGGCTAGGCTGGCTCCGCTACGACGGGGGGGG